AGTGGTGCCATGTTATCTCTGTTCTATGTGGTTTGACATATGGACAGGTGAGACCCAAGGTGTGGAAGCAGTGGTGACTGGAAATAACACTACTTGACTGCTTTCACTTGATACATGAATCAAGGAAGAAAGCCAAGATGAGAACCCTATTAGTATGCAAACCATGTTGCAGGTTATCTGCCTTCATTGCAGAGATAACAGAGCTGCTGTACAGCTTGGCACTGGCACCTTCTAAATTTATCATCTTTAGGGATTTTAATTACTGTGCAGGTGATCCATGACATACTTAGAATGCCTCAAGATGCTGCAGATATAAAAATTCATGAACCTTTCTTCAACCTTACCATGAGTATCAGAAACATAATAGCTTTCCCTGCTCTCAGCACCTCTGTCAAGTAGAAAGTAAGACTCAGTCTTCTTACTAGCTGGGTCATAAGTCAACAGATCTCAGAGCAGATTTCTAAAGTTCTTTTCTTAGGTGAATGTCTGGGAGCGAACAGTTGGCTGTGGGAGCAGTGGTCTGGTATGAAAAAGTATGAAAAATAAAAGGGCTGCTGTTAAGTACCACTAATGCTTAATTTTTTAAATTGTATCCTTTCTCTACCTTGTTTTACTCTTGATCCAAACTGGTTGAGGTATGATGGGCAGATTGAGACAGCAGGTGGTGGCAAGCCAGGCATGACTATGACGTAGTCCTGACTAACTGTGTGCTGGAGGTGCCAGTGGGAGAACCTGTAGGTTGTCTGTGCCTGTAGTGCTGAAATGGGGTAGGAGTGTTAGTAGTGTCATTCATTTGTAGGAAATGGCAGAGTGCTGACTTCACCTTCTGCTGAAGGTTCTGAAGTTTGAGTGCACTTAAAGTATGATGCAGCTTTTCACTTTTCATCTAAGCTTGTTTGGTGTCTTGGAAGTCTAGCAGAGCTTATCACCCCCCACCCCCAAGACTTTAATTACAACTGCAACACACATAACCTTTTTTTTTTTTGCCCCTGTGTGACTACTGGCCAAATTACTTGCTCCAGGTCTTGAGTGCTGTGGCAGCAGAATACGTCCTGGAATACCTTAGCATGTGTTTATTTTATGCTAACTAGTTCTGCTGCCCAAATGTAGGAACACAAAGGAAGGTGCAAATATTTTCGTTCTAAAACATCTGGAGCCCTTGAATTCTTAATAGAAGAGTGACACAACAGCTTAAACTAAGCAAGTCTTCTGCCTCTTCCCCTACTGCCCTTTCTCCAGTCAAGAACATAAAGCAAAACCCTGGAATCTTATCCGGCTCTTGATAAACTGTATTACAGGAGGAGGATCAGGTTTGCGATGGTGTTAAGGAAAATTGAAATCATCATCAGTAATAGATGCTGAAGTTAATGTTTGACACCAGGTATCTTTTGTTTTGCTTACCAAGATGTTAATGGAAAGGAGGTTTGTTCACTGCGGCATACACCAGGGTCGACCTAAAAGGTCGTGATGAATTATTCTAATTAGCTAATTGCTAATAATCAGCTAGTGCTACTGGCATAAGCTGTGATGGTCTAAACTCATAAACAAGACGGGATTTGAGTACGGTTTATGAAGTCTGCTGGAATATTCTGAAGAGTGGCCTTGCCTGACTCTAGCCTAACTATAGGAAAAGAATAGTCTACAGAAATTAGAGGCCAGATAAATACTGCCTCTATTTGTCAATCTTTTCTTGCCTAAAGTAGGCTAAAGAGCTAATGAAAAGCAATTCTTATGCATTTTTGGTGTATATTACAGCTTGGGGGAAAAACGGAGGACATAGGCTGAGGTGAGGAGGTTCCGTTGGAATTCTGATCAAATAAAGTTTCTTCAAACTTTTTTTTTCTTTTAGATTCAGCTATGACAACACAAAGTACAAGTCAGTCTCAGGTGAACTCCTTGACTAAGATGCAAGCAGGACTTAATGAATCATCTGGTAATTGTTTTATTTCAGTACACCTCAAACTATAGTACTTTTCTTTTAATGATACTAATTTCTCACGTAGAGTTTGTTTTCGTACTTAAGTCACAATCTTATTTCAAAAGACCTCTCAGAAGAAACAGAAGTAAATATATCATCTAGGCCTTCTAAAGCCACTGCAAGAGTGTCATAAGCATCTTCAGGACTAGAAAAGCTATCCAACTGCTAGTTGCATGACCTATTGCCCTTATGCATATATGCTGTAAAAGCAGACAATGACCCTGGCTGTTGGATAATCCCCAAACTGGCACTTTTGCAGGAGACTGTGTTTGAGCACTTAGACCTGGTAATTTTCCGTGTGGAGCATCCTTAAGGTCTTGTGTTAGTGAAAAGTAGAACAGTGTCCTTGCATCACTGTGCCTGCTGGCTTCATCTGTCTATTTTCTTAATTATGGGTGTGTCAGAAACCTTCTGTCGTCCCTTTGACTTTTTCAACATATTCTGGACCCTAGTTGTGGTTTTGGCAGGGAGCAGAGAATAAGTTCCAGGCAGGAGAGGAAACCAATGATTGTTGATTGCATGACTTTCTCCATAAAGATCAGAGGAGCAAGATTTCAGTAGTGTACCAAAGCTCATGTTGATTAGTGGAAATCAAACATGGGCTATGCTATATTTATATGTGAACTTAATCCATCTACAGGGGTTTTTGTTGAAGATAATGCTATTTATCTGGTGTTCATTTTGAGAGGCTTTTACCAAGATGTGAGAACTAGGAGTGCAATAGCTAATAGATTTAATAACGCTTTACATAAATACACACAGGCATTTTAGCTAAAATGTGCATAATATTTTATATAATGGGACCTCACCTGACTATTTTAATATGATACTTGAATTGAAGAGGGTCAGCATGAAGATCCTGTTAGTGTGCAAGACATTTTAAAGGTTGCCTAGTTACTTGTGGATGGATAACCACTACCATATGAACTGGCACTGGTGCCTTCTGAATGTATCATCGTGAGGAATTCCAGTAACAAACCAGGTGAAGCATGTACTGTACTGACACAAACTCAGGTGATCCGTGATGAACTTGGCATGCTGTCAGAGTGTTTGCACACACAGGCCAAGATTTGCCAAAGCTTTGAGCCTTTACATGTTGTTTCATGGGTGAACACTTGGACTAGTTTTTCTTCATTGGGCAGAGGTCAAGGCTTGCTTGTGTCCTTGTCTAGAGCAACGGGACTTCCTGTCTAGTGCTAGAGACAGCTTTGATTTCTTTCTTTGAAAGCTGCTTTAGACTACTAGTTGGCTGACATCAGCTACTGTCAACAACACCAAATGAGATAGCCTGAGGCTTTGTTTTTTCGCACCAATCAGCTTAATATACAGTTTTATTTTTACTAAAACTGGTTGAAGCTTGAGGGAAAGTATGAAAGGGCAGGTGGAACAAGCCAGGCAAATGGTTGATTGCCTGTGGTACAGCATTCCTTGTCCTGTGAGCTGACATGTTGATGCTTTCTTGAACTGGCCAACAGCTTGAAAGGCATGTGTACCTCTGCTTATGCATTTAGATGCAAACCACAAGCAGGGACCTCCTTCAGCACAGCCAGATCCTCTCAGCTGTAGCTGAGAGGCATGTGTTCAAGAAATTTAACCACAAGTTCAGTATTTTATGCAGGAAAAGAGAAGTAGTAATGCTGAGGAGATTGAGGCTTTCAGAGGTACTGCATCTACTGCACAGGGATCAACTCTGCCACCCAGTGCTTCTCTCAGTAAGAAGACTAAAGCTGTAGCCTAATTCCTCTGTTTTTCTCAGTTGTGAGTGAAATCTTTTCAGTCTATGGCCAGGAGAGATAATGGAGCCTCTCTCCTTCTACAAAAACTAGAATAAATGTCTTACAGTGCTGTATGATTAGGCTGTAATTACTGTTCCTGTATTTTTGAAATGCATTATATCTGGCAATAAAATTATTTTCCAAGCATGTAAAACAAGTGGCTTAAAACATTTAGTGTGTCTTCTGGAAAGGGGAGGCTACTTCTTTTATTTCATCGTTAAATTAAAAGATTATTGTTTTTGTAATGGATTTGTTTTTTCACCTTTCAGAACCCATGGCAACTACACGAGATGTCAGCTGGCAAACTCAGGGGAGCTCTTTAGATTATTTGACACTTGGACGTAATGTATCTGTAGCTGGTAAAAGCAATGACGTGTCTTAAATTGTTAGATTTCGGTTATCCTAAGGTTTTTTCTTTGTATTTTTCAGTCAAGTGGTTACAAAGGGTTTCTGTTGGGTGATAGTTAGCAAGATGAACAGTTTGATGTTTCAAGCTGTAAAAAATGTAACTGTGGAAAATGAAAATTGCTGTTACTATATTGAATTGATTTTTCCTTTAAGCGTAATTTCTAATGTGTTTTCTCATTGCATACTTCAGTTTCGTAGGAACTTGTGAGGAGAGAGTACAATGCTAATGAAACAGTGTGTAAATGTGGAAGGGTGGTGTTTTCTTAGCTGGGCTACACCTGTGATTAGAACAACTTTGTTCTTGTTCTGTTCCTGAAATGCACCGAGCATGAGAACAAATATAGTGATGAGAACAGACTCTTTGTGCTTACAGTTTCTGTATCAAGCTTTGCAGAGCTTTATGAAGCTATTCTCTGAAGAGCAAGTGATCCATAGCCCTACTGGAAAAGGATTTCACTGACCATATTAAACCTTTTAAGTGTAGGGGTTTTTATCACAAAAGGAAAGGACTTTTTTAGTCAGGCTGGTGATGGACAATATCGATATTCTTTGTGTGTGGAAGGGCATTTCCTGTTGTACAACAGGAGTATTGTGGAGCATGGTCTCCAGCCGTGTTCCAGTGGAACATGGGGTGTTCATTAAAAATACATCTAGATTAGATAGTCTGGCGCTGGCTTTCAGCTATGTCATTAAATTGTAGTGGGTTGGAGAATGGCAGTGCCCTGTCCTGTTCGGTTTTTGCTTGGGTTTGGGTTTTTTTTTCCATTTTTCTAAAGCTTATTAATTTTTCAAGAGCTACTTAAACATTGGTGTAGTTATGTATAGTTCTAGGAACCACCTGTAAGCTATAGGTGACTTTCTGAATCAGGCTGTGAAATAGTTATGACATCTTTAGAGTGTTGACATTCACAATTACAACATTATGTTAAAGCTAGAAACCATCTTAACATAGCATAATTGATATAATAGCAACCCCACAACACTGCTGCTTTAAGATTCTGACTGTGAATAAATGAGGTGTATAAAAGGATCTCCTTAGTAGTCAGCATTTGGCAAGATTCTCACCCCTCACCCCAAGATTGCTATAAGTAACAATTGCAATACTGTATTGACATTGCTGTGTCATTATTTATATGGGATCATAATATATCACTTTGTTTCCCTCCATACCTTGTTATGTCCAGATCTTGCCACACAAGATGTCAATCAGGCAAGCAAAGAGAACATGCCTAATACCAGTTACGTTGAGTATGAGATCCTCTTATCTGGTAAGTGTGTTATTTTTTTTTCTTTGTTATTTTATATTGAATGCCTATGATTACACAGTGTCTTTTATATGAGTTGTAGAAGAATCAAGGATGACAGCTTCTTGATAAAGATGCTCACGGTGAGCATGTGATGAGTTCAGTACGAGGAAAGATGAGCTCAGTAAGAGAAGATGAGTAAGTTTGTGCAGTTACTGGCTAACATGTTATAATAATTATTTTTCAGTGAAGAATTAGATTCTTACCTTTATTAAAACCAGAAGTAAATCCAATTCATAGCTATTTCTTCCTACAAATCAATTGAGGTGGCAGTTTTTTTGCACTAGTGAATCCACTGGGAGAGAACACATAAACTAGGGTGTACTTGTTGACCAGCAGGTTTTGGTTAGCTTAGCAACATTGCAGGAGATAAAGCATGGAGAACAGGTAAGGTAAACCTATGCCTAAAGTAGACAAGAAGTTCCCAGTTGCCAAATAATCTTTTTTATGATTTCTTGGACAACTGGAAAACCTGATCTAAGTAAGTATCTCTCAAAGATTTGCAAAGTATATTTTTATAGTATTATATTTAAAGGATATAATTGTGCAGCATTTATGCTGCATTTTTTTCTAGCTTCAGGTAGTGTCTGTTTCCTGTTCTGGTATGTGCACTCTTTGTACAGAGACGCCCCAGATGTCAGTCTTGCTGGTGGTTAATCTTCAACAGCATAGGGTTTTCATGTTCCATTCATTGAAAGGGTGGATTTAACATTAAAATAATCTCAAAGGGTACAGATACTACTTTTAGCCAGTGTAATTAATCTGATTGTAAAACATTTGCTACTGTGAAACCAATTCCATTTGTAAAATTACTTTGATCATAACCTCAACAAGCTGAGTTATGCTTGGCTCATTTATTGAGCATAATGTCTCTAATAAATGAGTTTCAGTAACTGGCTTTGCTCTGCTATGAAAGGCTGAGGTGTTGTACCTCTAAGTTTAACTCCAGTTCAGTGGATCTGAAGTATTTTGATTGGGACTTGGAGTTCAGGGCATGGTATTCTTCAGGTTGTAAATGTCTCTGCCAGATCCAGTAAACTTCACTTATTCTCTGTCTGGGAGTAGCTGGTGCTTCCATTTCAGCCAGACTTTGCTTCTGCTTAGGTACGACTTGGATTACTAAATCAGTGAGTTGTACCTTAAAACTTCCTTTTCTCTTGGAAAGAATGTGAACTGTGAAATACAACTGCACTTCTTTCACCATCAAGTAGTACAGAGTAGGCCTAGGATAGCGATGAGACCTAGAGTAAATTTACATGGAATATTCAAATTGACTAATCACACTTGTATCTAGAAAGCATGAAAGAAAAGACCCATTATGAAATAAAATATCAGTGCTAGCAGGTAGTGTCTAAGGTGTTTTCTTTTCAAAGGCTGTTTCTGCGAGTCTGAGAAGATACTTGCTATGGAAATCTATTTTTTGAATATGCTTACTTTATACTCATGAACCTTGTTAAATGCAAAAAAAGTCAGTTTTTCTACTGTATTGGAATGTTTTCACATGGTAATTCTACTGACTTGCCAGGAAGGCAAAGGCAGTCATAAATGGGTTTGAAGATGAATAGGTTTCAAGTTGAGTATCTGTACCATGAAGGGCCAAATCCAGCAATGTTGAGATTCTGGGTTTTAGCAACAGCTTCCCCAGCAGTAGGATATAGCTGTGATCTCACAGTATCAAAACTCTGCAACTAGCTAAAATCCACATATCTATAGATATTTGTCTAACTCGTCTTGATATTAATAATCCAACTTTTTATATACTTAGTAAGGACTTTATATTTTTTGGTTTGGGTTAAATTACATAAAAGTTTAAGTTTATCTTGCTTTCAGTGAAATACGTATCTGTGATTCTATATTAGATCCCTCTAGGAAGTCTGCATACAAAATGGAGTGATTGTGTCATTTTTGTAATGGATATGTGTCATAACTCAGATATGGTTTAAAATTACTGTCAGTCTCTCTTATTTTGCAGATTTTTTTTCCCTTTGAAAGTATAACAGTAGCATGCTGTATCCACCTGTAATCCTGCATATGTAAACACAATATTTGAATCTCTTCTGCCCCCAGAATGAAGAAACTTTTTTTTTTTTCAATAAAACATTTTAAAACTTCCTTTAGGTGCTTCTGGTACTTCCTTGGAAAGAAATATAATTTTGGTCAATGCAACTGGAATTGAACTTTCATGCAAATTGGACAGGGATTCTCTTTTGAAAAATCCTCAAGTGACTTGGAAAAGGGGAAATGTAACACTCAGTCATATCCGTAAAACTGAGAACACCTGGACCATTCAGTAAGTAACATTCTTTACAGTGTGACTTGCAGGTTCTAATGATAGGAAATGTGATGAGAGTGTGCTGTCACTTCTGATACTGCATATACACAAACACAGCCATAAATCCTTTTCAAACTGCCAGTGAAACAGAGTTTCCTAGTGGAGAAGATCATAGTATCATAATATCTTAAGGGGTTGGAATGGACCTTAAAGGTCATCTAGTCCCAATCCACTCTTGCCCTCGGCAGGGACACATCCCCACTAGACCATGTTGCTCCAGGCTTTATCCAACCTGGGGTTGGGGCATCCACAACCTCCCTGGGCAGCCTCTTCCATGATGGATGGGAAAAGATGGAAGCTGGACTTCATTAAATGGAAGCTCTTGGAAACCCTTTTTTTTGTGTTGAAGGTAACCTAGCCATTGACTGACTGGCTTCAGAAGAGACTACTTAAGTTGTTTGTTCTCTTTAAAGTCCTACATAGGATGTGCTAGATAGTTTACATAGTGAGTCCATGTCTAATTAGGTAACCTACAGATCATACTGCTTCAAGATGTTTGGCCTTCTGTGAGTGTCACAGGTAAAAATTATATTTATGCTCCCAGGGTGTGCATGTGCTCTTCCATTTTGTGAGATTATGTAAATGGATTATGAGAACATGTAAGCACCAGCAGGGTGTGTGCAACGTAGACAAAAAGGAAAGCTCCATTAGCAGCTCAGATAAATTTTCTGGAAGATCAATGGATAAAACAACAGCAGATGAATGAACTCCTGGCTTGAAAGCAAAATGAATATTTAGCACTTGTACATTTGACACTGATGCACAAATCAGTATTATGGTCTATGAAATTCTTACGTTTTCTTAAAAATGTCATGGTGTTTCTGCATTGCACTGAACCTGAATCCTAGTGTTTCAGCAATGTGTGTTCTTTGTTTTCTTTAGAATGTTAATTAGCACTCACTTGTAGTTGTAGGGCAAAAGACAATACAAGCATAAAAGCAATTTTTTTTTTCCCTAAGAATGAACATTACTGACAGCAGTAAGATGGGGAGTTACTGTTGTATTCTGAAAGGTGAAAAAGAAGAAATGAGTGCTGTGTTTCATTTACAAGGTAATTCTATTTAGCTAATTTGAATGTATTAAAATTTTTTGTTTCATCTGACCACTACAAACCTCTAATATGGTTTCTGGATAATATGGAAGTTGCAACGTAATTTGATAAATGGTGACTAATATGGTCATTGATAGTGAGAAACACTATCCAAGTTATTTCTATAGCATGGAGGGAAGAAGAATTCTGAACTAACACCTAAAAGCCTTTTAAACAAATTTTTCTCACAACCAGAAGACCATATGAGTCTACTTTTTCTTCCTTAATGAGCAGCTGATTTTCCCTTTCCAGTCCATCCCTACAGCAGGAGTGAATGCAGTTCACTTTCTGGGGGGGTGGGAGTAAAGGGTGATGTCTCAGGTAATTTTTTAATAAGGCAGGACCAATAGCTTGAAAGTTAGGTCTGAGGTTTGATGATAATAGTGAAGCAATGATTGGCAGAATGGAGGCAAGTATTTTAAAATTTCAGTTGTATTTCTGAAACACTAAGTTACTGCATTAATGAGTTTCTCTTTTTTTTCTGTATAATGTGAGAATGGCACTTACATGAAGTTAGTTGCTTCATTGGGCAGTATGGAGTGCCCTTTCTCTCTTTTGTGTTCTCTTTTCCAATAATGTTATCCCTGACATTAGTACGTGAAGTTCAGTTAAATGGAAGATGTGGAAATGAAAATAATACAAGCTGCTGAGATTATGAATAACTCTAATGAGAGCTATTCTCTCCTCTATTCCCACCATCCAAATTCAGCAAAGAGCAAGGCAAGCATTTCATCTGTGGAGGCTCTACAGACTGATAGATGGGAGATTCTCCCTGAACATAGGCTTTGAGAAACCCTAATTCTTCAAATCACTGCCCTAAACTCAGCTGAACTAACCAGCAGTTATTCTCAGTGCTGCAAGCTGCCTTTGTTGGGCGGTGGGATATCTCTAATAGGACTGGAGGAAACTCATGCTTGTTCAAATGTTAAATGTTGATGTCTGTGTTCAGACCTTCCGCCAGGGGAGACTAGCTTGCAATACTGAATAAAGACAAAATTGTAGTTTATTCAGGCCTTGTAATCTCTAAAACTGACTCTGTGTTTTTCTTGTCAGCATGTAGGTGAGGTTTAGTCAAATAGCTAACCAAGTCTGTTTAGATGGAAAAAAGTCCAAGGAAGCCTTATTCTTTTGAAAGTATACAATAACTATTTCAGTGAGGGCAGCAATGACTCAATAGGGAAGTCATCTTTTCCAGAACAGTGCATAGGACTGGTTGATTTATTATAAGAAGATGGGAGAATTGCTTCACAATGGTTGAATGCTGCCACTTCTGATGCCATAAAAAGTACTGGCTTGACACTTTTTAAAGATTAATGCAAGAGTGAAGGAAATGGGAAAGAGAAGTCCTTGAATCTTCCAGTCAATAATGCAGAGAGAACAATTCTCAAACTGAGGGATGAGTAATGTGTTGGTATAAACTCAGTGGCTAAAGTCATCACAGCTGTAACTAACTGCAATGGCTTTTCCACTAGGCAGTTTGGCATTATTGGATGTGTTACCTCTCCTCTCTGTCCCCCTCCCCCATTCCTGGCTTGGTGTAACCCTGCAGATTTTGAGGAGTTATGTTTTCACTCAGGTCTGCAGAAATCAGTAAGAGATACTTGAACTTCAAATTATTAAACAGGGAGACCATCCATAGTTATTCTTAAATTCTGTGAAGTGTTGCTAGCTTATATTAAAGGGTAGAATAGATTAATTTGTGTTTGCTCTTTGTTCAGGGGTCTTTATGCAGCTGCTGAGGTATGTGCACTCTGAAATAACTCTGTTCTCTAAAACAGTGTGGAAATCTGACTGGTGTAAATGTTGATGCTAAAACCTGTCTGTTCGTCTCTTCAATAGTTTGTTTTGCCTATGCAGCAGAAGTATTTTGTCACTGGATTTGGTATGATCTGCTTGGAAAAATACCTGTGACAAAATATATTCCTGCACATATTCAGGGATTAACAATTTTGTTACAGAGCCAGATCCCAGAACTCATGGTGGATGTTCATATACTTAGTCTTGGCTAATGTGTGATATGTATTGCTGGTATGCCTATAACTGTGTTTTGCCACTGATCTGCATGGCTAAATATTTTTGACTACCATAGAAACTTGTTGTGCTGGGTATACAGGTTTTTTGTTTGTTTCCATATAGTCCATTTATTTTTATTTTTTTCCCCCCAACCTGCTTTTGTTTTTCCTCTTCTCTAAATTGCAAAGGTGGTGGCAGCAGTTATTAGTGAGATCATCCCTTTTACTGACAGCAGTGAAGATACTCTGTCAGTACAGTTTAGAAGGATAGTGTTTAATGATTAAAACATATATGTGGAGTGAGAAGATTTCACTAGTAATGAGGCTAGATTAATGTATGGTGCAGCCAATTTTGAGACTGAGAGCAGTGTTCTTTTTAACAAACTGGTTTCATTTATATTTCTGGACTGGAAACGTTTAAGTTTGAATACAAATGAGAAGTGAACTTTTTGGTGAAAAATAATTTGTGCTCAGCCAGTCAAGAAAGGGAGGGAACAAGAACAATCTTAGTTTGCATCAAATTGTTCCATCATAAGTGCTGGAAGCAAATACTTGGCCTGTTCAGTCTAGTGTGATCAATATAGTTTAAAATATGTGCTGGATCTGTACTTAGAGCAATGAAACTTGAAGTAAACTTTAAAATAAATGGACCTGAGGAAGACATGTTGGTAATCATCTTAATAAAGAGAGAAAGGAGGAGGAAGGGGAAATACATATGCTAGCATGATATATTTGCTAAACTCTAACAGTATCTGTGGGACAGCTTTTTTGTGCATTTGCTTTTGGAGCTTGTGGGGCACCCGCAGTTACAGTGGCTGGGACAAATAGCTCTAAAGTTAAACTGATGCCTTGCTTCTTGTGGCTATGTTCTGTCCTCAGCAAGATTGGACCAGAAGTCCATGGACCCAAAACTCATTGCTTTAGCTCAGAAAATGTTTGTAACTGTGAATCTCCATCAATCTGCAGTTTTGTCTTAATTAAAAAAAAAATGTTCTCTCTGCATGTCCAACTTGCCAGATAGCTTTATGTGGTTGCATTGTGGCTGGAATAGACTTTTGTCAGTTCCTGCAGATTGAGTGAAATTGCAGGAAAATTATATGTTTGTTTCTAGTGTACTAGAACTGAAGCATGTAGCTCATGGCTGTCAAGGAGCGGAATAAGAAAATGGGCAAGGGTAGAAATCAGTCTGATTATCACTGGGTGTTCAGTAATAATTGGCAACTGTTAAGATCACACAGCAGCTCACACCAGGATTCCTGTAGTCCTCTGCTCTTCTGTAGAGATTCTGTATATGAAATACCAGCCTAAAATGACTCCTCGTTTACATTGTCATGAGTGATAGAATCATCTGTGTTTGAGAAAGAAGAAGCGAATAGACTTGTATAAATACATACCTAAATATATCTTTTTGTAATACTAATTAAAACCTGCACCTCTCAGTTGATGAACTTTTTCCTTTTTCTTCTTAGTAGTGAAAATTGAAGGAAAAGCAAAACCCATAATCAGTTACAAGGGAGATACAGTTGTAATGAGTTGTAAAAGTGTTGACTATACTCCCATGTCTTGGACCTGGTATATGATCAATGGAAGTGAACAGGTAAGATCTCCATCTGTTGACCAAGCAAAACAGCGTGGCAAAAATCAAGTACAGACACCTTGTAAAGCATAATGACTCTTCACTGCAGGCTTTACAAATTGCATTTCCATTAACTTTAATGTAAATCTTTCTCTGTGGAAAAATACCTGTGATATTTAGTAGTCACTGTTACAGGGATGTAGTTATTGTTCTGGTTTCCATGATGTTACTTTTTCAAGAAGTCTCTGCCATGCTCTTACAGCCCTCATGAGTGTAAAACAAATCAGGCAAGTCTTGAGAGACTTGATTTTACTAAATTTATGCTGGTTATATTGCTCAAATCTTACCACGTGATACCAAAAAATCTTACCATAGTGCACACATTTTCAAAAAGGTCTGTGCGATCTTGTAGGTTTGGGGGGAGACAGGAGCATGATCCTTCTCTTCAGGTACCAGTAGTTCTGTTTCCTAGCCTTATGGCCTCCCTGGAAAGCTTTGTTCTAGCCCTTTTCTGAGGGAAGCACTGTCAGCTGAGAGGAGGTGAATAGATCTGTCCCTTTTATGCTGCTGAATAGTAGCTCTGACTTGTAAGGCTATCAGGGTATATCCCAGTGAAGCAGTGCTCCCACTTCACTCCCTTGAAAGTGTATGCTTTGGCTCTATTGAATCTCCAATGACAAAGGCATCCTCAAGTGTTAAGGTCCTGTGCTGTTTCACCACAGCACAAAGGTAACTTTCATCTGATCTTAAACTGAAAGGAGTCAGACAACCACTAAAAGTTGATATTTTCCTCCATTGCATCTAAAAGGAACCAGTGTGGCCTGCTGATATAAATCCTTCCCTTGGAGGTGAGCTAATCGTGCTCCACAAATGCCACTTGTTCTGTACTCATTTTACATCTCTATATAGAACTGTTGATGATGTAATGTGATTACACTTTGTCATTGCACTAACAAGACTTTTATTTTTATTTTCAGATTGCCATTAATGACTCTTTGAAGGCAGACAAGTATGTAATTAGTAGACTGTCTCCCAATGTAACCCATCTGAGGATACACAAGGTCACCAAGGAAGATGATGGTCTATACTGGTGTGAAGCTGCTTTTGAATTAGGGACAAGTAGAGGAAGGCAGGAGCTTAGAGTTCTGTCCTACCTGGTGCCTCTCAAACCCTTTCTAGCAATTGTGGCTGAAGTTGTTATTGTAGTAACTCTTGTTTTCTTTTATGAGATACATTCAAAAAAAAAAAGCTCAGGTAAGTTTGGGTTTTTTTCCCAAATTTCTCTTTCCATTGAAATTGCAGCCAAAAGTAGAAAGCTGTGGCCCATAGTGCTTAATACATAAAGTTCAATGTGCTTTCACATCTGTATTTCTTTCTGATAAAATACTTTCTTCTAGAATGCTGCATTATTTTAGATATTTAAATCTCTTCCATGTGTCTTGAATTCAAATGCAAAGTGCTTTCAATAAGCAGTACTTTATTATTAAGAGTTTGATATAGTCCTGACTTTTTTTTTCCCCCTTACAATACAAAGGAATTTAGAGGCTATATTTTTCGGGTGAATGCTTAGGAGTGGGAGCTGCTCTTAATAGCTTTCATGGGACAAACTTTAAAGAATTTGTGTAAGAAGGAAAAATACATTAAATCTGAATGCACCATAGCTGGTTGCTGAACCTATGGTGAACGTGAGGTAAGTCAAACTGGATGTGCAAGATGAAACAGAAGTGATACATGTAAAATCTATTTTGATGTCCGTGTAACACATGCATGCATATACTTATCTGTATTTTATAATGCAGAAATATAAACCTATATATAGCATAATTTTTATTAAAATCAAATTACTAAAACATTCTCAAAATAAGCTTTTTGACAAATTTGGAGGTAATTCCATTGACTAGACACAAGTTAAATTACAAATTTAAGAAAACTAATAAAATGAAAAGGTTTTATTTTGATTAAACACTGAGCAAATATACTAAACCAGAAATTTTTTATTGTTCATTAAAAAAAGACTTTGTATAATTATTTTTTCTGTTCTGCAGAAGAAATAGAAGAGTTGGACCAAACTGAGCAACTGTAAGTAAAGAATTTCTATACTGTGGTTAAATATTTGTTCCTTTGTGTATTAGTGTTGTACAAAATCATACCCTGTTGTTGGCCCAGTTGGATGATGAGGAATGATTGTAAAAGTGCAGCTTATTCCTTTACTTAAGACTTCCTAATTCCATAGTAAGCAGAATGCTATTTTCTACCTGGCACTTAATTTTGAGATTTTTAAGAAGGTTTTTTTTTAAATTATTGTTGTGAGAGCACCATATGTCCTCTTTGTAAGGTCATTCTAAAAGACTATAACTGCAAGAAAATAACTTTCAGGTGGAAATTTTACAGAAGAGGCTTTGGATATTTTTGTATCTATGTTATTTGTCTATATTGACATACATTTCTCTCACTTGTATGTTGCCAAAGCCCTGACACTCTTAGGTAAGCCTGTAGTTGCTGGGGTGTTGGGAACAGGCATTGTTGGCTGCCTTGATGGGTAACTCACCTCTTGTGGGGTTGCACATTGTGCTGATAGCTTGGGCTCTGTGGGCACAGGACTGGCTGCACTACTGGAACCAAAGGAGCAGGTGTAGGCACTTCTGTTGGTGTTCTGCTGCTTAAGGGTGTGTGCTCCCCTGCTGGTTCCTCATCTTTAGGATGATGCGTTTCTATAGGCTTTCTGGCTCATCTGGTTGATTTACATATGACATCAAGAGAAAAATTGTCTAGCAGTTCCTCTTCCTGGATGTGTCCAGTCTACTCTGTTTTTTCTCTCCTCAGTCCCTTCTCTGTTTATCTCCCTTTTTTCTTCTAAGCAGTTGTCTTTCCCTCCTTGAGTCTTTTGCTGCAGTGACCTTGTTTCCCTGTGTTGTATGCACTTCTCATTCCTTTTTCCCCTGCTGGCTGAAAATACGTTTTAGTGTTTTTCCCCTTATCAAAACTGATTTAAAACTGTAATTCAATTATAGTATAAAGTGGGAATATGTATGGAGAATGTAGTATGCCACTATACTGCTGAGTGTTTGGGGATATGTCTTGGGTTGAAAATTGAGTAATTGTCCTTGTTGCACAGCCCTGCTTCTTATAAATAAGCTGTATCACACCAGGATTTTAACATAGTATGGTGCACTAAAATAATGGTTTTATGCTTGTGGGATGTGGTTTTGTTCAGCTTCTTAATTTTTATTGTGGAATTGTATATTAAATTAACATACATGAGGAAAATTTAGTTAACTGTGTACTTCCCTGATTGTAAGAACTGGAAGTCATTTCACCTGTTGGCTGCTTAGAAGATTAGATTTGTGTACTAGGGAGAATGGCTCCGAAGGAAGATTCCTGGTCTGTTAAATCAAGGGATGATTAGCACAGCTGAACTTGGTCGATGAGGCTATAATTAAAATGTCACATCCAGCAGTGTATTTAGGTGGGAGCCCAGTGATTAACAAACATTTTGTAGCAAAGGAATTATTAGTGCAAGTCTTGATTGTGATCCACATCATATAACTAGTTGTAGTTACTTGAGAAGGAGCAATCATGCATCTGTTTCATCCCATATTCTGAGGATGTTGAGCTGTATATTTGCTTGTATATTATTAACTTTAAATACGAATTACATACATTGAATGAAATGATAATTCAGTAATCATTTGGGAATACTATTCTTGTTCTAACTTCTGCCCAGAATCTTGTGGGATTTTTTGGGAAAGAACAAGGTTGAGTCTATTGTTTGGTTGAAGGACTAAGAGTCAAGTAGGAGTTGGTATTTAATTGCTTAATTTCTTCTTTTTTTTTTAACCTCTCATGCTAAAAGAGAAAATCAGATACACCGATAGACTCTCTGATTGGATTGTGGGACAGAAACGATTGTGCTGTTTAACACCTAAAAGTTGAGTTTTGGAATTTAACCTCTTTTTCTTTTAGTAAATCTGAAGAAAGCAATGGTCTGGAAAGCAGTAGTGCTAGACAGAGAAGAATTTAATCTGGTTCCTGAAAAGGTAAGTGAAAGATGACATGGAGGCTTTTCTTTGGAGCTGCCTAATACTAGGAGAAAAAATCCACTGTGCCATTCCAATCTGGTTTTTATGTCTGAACATCATAGCAGTTGAACCATTGTTAAGGTAAAATAATGTATATGTCAAGCAAGAAAGCAAGTCTAAATCCTTTTATCTCAATTCTGTCTTCATTGTGATTTAATAGTTCTGTTAACCCATGCAGTCTTAAATGGGACCCAGGTTAACCTGCTTAATTGCTTGGCTCCTGATTGTGAAATAATCCTGTAACTGCCAGGATAGAACGAGTGAGTGAATTCGTGGGCTGAGATAGGCTGTTTAAAAGGAAAAGCAAAAACTGCACACACATGCAAAACAAGGGATTCATTTACCACTTCCCATGGTCAGGCAGGTGTTCAGCCACCTCCAGGAAAGCAAGGCTCCATCATGCCTAGTAGGTACTTGGTTTAATTGGGGAGACAAATGCCATCGCTCCAAATGTCTCCCCCTTTGTCCTTCTTCCCCCTGCTTTATATACTGAGCATGATGCCATATGGCATGGGATATCCCTGTGGTCAGTTGGTGTCAGCTGTCCTTGTTGTGTCCCCTCCCAGCCCTTGTGCACCCCCAGCCTCCTTGATGATTGGGGTGGAGTGGGTAGCAGAAAAGGCCTTAACACGGTGTGAGCACCAATCAGCCATAACTGAAACACTGTTTCCAGCACAAATGCAAAATCTAAACTGAGCCCCATACCACCTGTCGTGATAAAGAAATAACTTTATTCCAGTCAGAACCAGCACATAAGGATTTATCTCATGTTGGATCTCACCTTCTGTTCTTGTAAAGTCTTTTTGACACATAGCACTTAGTGAATAACTAAGGGTTCTGGTTTGCAAATTGGGCTATTCAAAAAAACCAAACCAAACCTGAAGTATAAACTGGAATGAAGTTTTATTTTCAAACAAATATGAGAAAATGTTAAGCAGTAAAATAATAGAATGTATATTATAATGAATTGTGTTTATCCTTTTTTTAGGCCAACAGAAGTGGAAATCATCACAAAGCTACAGAAGATGTATGCGGCTATGCATTTTAAGCATCCACTATGTTTCCTCTGCATTTATGAGAAATAAGATCCTTTTAAAATAGCTGTGAACCTGCTCATTTTATACAGATGATAATCTGATACACTGCATTTAGGCTTTTGCTGTCTGTAACGTGTTGGTTATTTTATTACTAAAAGATGGTTAGTTATTTTATTACTAAAAGATGGTTAGTTATTTTGTTACTAAAAGATGGTTTTTATGTGGTTAGGCTTCCTGTTGCTTTATGACTGCTCTGTTTGATTTTATATCCTAAATTGGAACTAACATTGTATTCACTGGATGAACAGTTAATATAGAATGGGCCTATTATCTAAGTGTTATAAAGCTGGACATGTAAGAAGAGTATTTCTACCAAAGAAAATGCCTTTTACTAGCAGACAAAACAAATGTGACATAACCATTTTTACAGAAGAAATGGTGAAAGGGAAATCTTTATCATTTAAATGAAACATTTACAGTTTTACAATTTGCTCTGAACAGTAAAATGTCTTCGTTCTAACTTTTCTTAGCTTCATTTCAGTAAGGAAGAAATGCAGGTACATTCTGAATGAAAGAATATTTTTAAGATATCCTGCCATATGTTGCTGCTGCTATGCTGTAGTTCTGAATAGGCTAAACATTTAAATGCTGTACAGATCAGATATTTTAGAATAGATGAAAGAAGTAATGGGGATACAGTACCTTCTCAGACTATAACTGCAATAATTCCTTATGCTTGCACAAATTACTGCAGTATCTGGGGGCTGCAAAACCAGTTTTGTGATTACAGTTTGTACAGAACACAGAATTTTCATGAAGATACCTGTATAGTTCGGGTCATACATCCTGTCTAGTTGGTACTTATGCTTCTTTCAGCTTACTGTATTGTTCCTTAAAACTCCTTGCAAAGCACAGAGAGGGTCTTGAGCAGCTAAAAATTTCAGGGTAAAAGATAAAGTAACGTGAATACCACTAGTTCTCATACAGAAATTTTAACACTGCTGTTAGTGACCTATGTTGTTGCTTTAGAAAAGCTAGTTGCCGTAATACCATTTAGTTACATTATATATTCAGCAATTGAAAATGTTCAACTAATAGGAAAATGGTTGCATTATTTGCTTTTGCTTGTTAATCCAGAATAAAAATAAGTAAAACTTCAATTTTGAGAGTGATAAGTAAAGTCTTTTAAAAACATTTTGTCTCTCAGCAAAATGATGTAAGGATTTCCAGACTTCCTAGGAAAGTGAAAGAAAGAAACATCTAAAGAAAACTTTGTACTGGTCATTTCTCTTTGAACATAACAGAATACAGGGGGAAAAAAAGATAAAACAGACTCAATCCCTTTGTTTTTTCTGTTTTACTGTTCTCACGGGTTTGAAAATACCAGAAACCCTAGCACTGGGTGTTTTGTTGGAGATGGGGGACAGAATTCAGTCTGATGTATGCTTTTTTGCTTTTCAGAGTTTATTTTTCAGCTTCAAGAACTGTGAGTTAAAGTTCAAATAAAACACAGTAAGAAGTATATAAGCATTAGGTGATTGACTGTAAGGACTGAACACTGATAAAAATTACCCTTGCTCAGATACTCTTGTTTATTGTATTTTGACTTGGAGTTTCTATGCACTATAAAACCCAGAATACATTTACAGGTTTTTACATTAATTTGTCATTGATATAACAGCATTCTTTGAGCAAGTAAATGTTTGCAGTTTTATGAGGTTTACTTCTGTATATTGTTTTAAACAATATAGATTTTGTAGAATATTGTTTCTTGTAGGAAGCTTAGTAGTAAAAAGTTAATTTACAGATCTGAGAATTAGATTGTGAATGAAGCAGCATTAATATATTTTGCAGTGAAAATGAGGCTAGGTACTGTCTGGACAAAAGCCCACCTCTTACTCAGAAATGGTAACAATGTCTTTCTGCCTTCACTTAGCATTCTTAGTGATCTTGGAATTGTGGTATGAAGTCTTGGCCAACATAGGCAAGTGACATGAATAGCTAGTTTTTTGGTATTAGCAAACAAGGCTGCACCAAAGGCAGGAAGAACCTGGATCAGGCATGGATTTTAGAAGCAACACATCATAGATCTGTCAGGACTGTATTAGTTTGGTCAAACTGGCTGCTGAAGCTGTACTTCTGTCCTGACCTGCCTCTAGCATGTCTGCAAGTGGTTTGGTGCTTATTTTTAGGTTGGCAAATAGTGTTTTTCTGTCCTGCTAAGTGATTTTATTTTATGTATGTTTATCTAGGTTTAAACCTTCCTGGGTTGCCTTACAGAGGGGAATAAAAAATCATATTAAATGATAAATAACTGGCATAATTAATGGTCAATCCAACTTATTTTTTTGGCCAGATACCACAGGGATCTCTGGAAATACTGAAATTCATCTCTTGAGAAATGTGTATTGAATATGTTCAAAACATTCCTATTGCAGTTGCTTTATTGATGTTTCATTTCACAAACATAGCCTTCAATGAAACAAAAATTTGGCAACTTAATGCCAAAACTCTAGGCAAATGATTTTTTTACTTCATTCCAGCCAAGAGATACCAAATGAGAGCAGAAACAATTCTGAATATATTTTCTTCAAACGGCAGTTAGAGCTAAGTGTAAGGATCCATAGAATTAGCTTTAATAACTAATATTAATCTGTAATTGACTGAGTCTAACAATTAAATTTGTTTGGCAAATCTTGTGTTCCAAGATCAAATAATTCTTTTCTTGCAAGAGGGGATATTTTATTGTTTGTATGCCAACGAAGGCCTTTTCCATTTCTGAGAGGAAAAGGTTGAAGTCTGCAAAAGAATCCTGAAGGGCTGTTCCCAATGCTTCAAACTGCTCACTGCAAATTCCTTCTTCCGTTAGGTCCAAAGCAGCCATGAGACCAAATTCCTAGTGAAAATAGCCAAATAATAGAAGAGTTTCCAAACTGTGGGTTCAGATAGAACTGTATGAATATTTCTTTAGTATGGAGACTTAAGAATTACCATGTAGTGGGCCTATCTAATTGATTAGCTATAGGTTGCTGGACACATACAATCCCGGGGGAAGAGAAGGAGAACCTGTCAGTATTCACATTACCACTAAAATTGGCATCCATGTGCCTCTCACTCTTTTGCAGACAAAGAAAGTGAGGTTTATATTCTGCCTTTAAATTCTGCCTGAGAATATTTCAATGGTGACTGAACAATAAAATTTGAAATTGGTGTCTTCAGTGTAAGGGAAGTTCTTGAGTTGAGTGATTGCCTAAATATTGAGCTACGCAGCACACACAGTCTGACCACAATCAGCCACATCGTGATATAGCTCTAGCTGGAAGCTCCTCAAAAATAGGAAGTTGCAAAGAGTGAGGAAGAAAACAGTTGAGAATGGTGTAGGGACATGAGAAGGAGCTGCATAGGGATATTCTGTAGGAGTCCTGAGGGACAGACAGCAGAAGCTGATAGGACTTGCAATTAGACATGTACGGGGAAGACTGACTGCAAATGTGTAGGAGAGAACAATTTTCAGCTGTGCCGCTCAGTGTTTGTGTAAGAAGTTCCATACAGCAACTGAAAACAGTTGCTGAGCACTTGCACAGGTGAAAACACAAAGCCTAATGACATGTTTTGTAGGCGAATTAGAAAATTCTTCACTAGTTTAAGATAGTCATGTTACTTCAATGTGTCAGAACACGCATGTATAATTCTTTATGGATAAAACAACTCACGTTCCAAACTTTTCAGCTTTACTGAAAGTCTTGATTTGTCAAAATTTGCTGTTAACAACTGAGTTCAGTTTTGTAGTTGAATTTTGTAAGACTTCAGGCTTGTATAATGTTTGTTCCATCATAGCCGAAGTTATTTTCTTTCATATGGAGACTTCATCTGATTTGGTTTTGCATTCAGTCTTCTATTAACCC